AAGCCTGGCGCGAGGCAGGGGGAGGAGGATCAGCAGCAGGAGGAGGTCGAGGAGGAGAATCAGGAGGCGTGGCCACCTGTCCTCAGTCTGAGTCTTCCTTCTTTTTTTGTGCCAAGGAGCGCGACCATCTGACGATTGAAGTTCGCCAAACGTCAGCAAGGACCAGGAGGAGGGAGGAGGAGGAAGGGAGGGAGGGAGAAAGTGAGGAGGAGGGAGGAGGGAGGAGGGTGGAGGGAGGGAGGGAGGGAGGGAGGGAGGGAGGGAGGGAGGGATGAGGGAGGAGGGAGGAGGTGGTGTCGGTGGCTTGGGTAATCATCTGGTGGGGCCGCGGGCACAGCCCCTTTAGCAGCACCTCCCGCCCAGGGATGGCTGGGGGACAGCTCACCACCCGTCGCGGGGGCCTAGTACCGCAGCGTCACTGTGCCCCTCGGTCCGAGAGACCACTGGGGGGAGGATTCCCCTTGGGGGAACCGCCTGTTCCCACCACGACCCCAGGACGGCCAGCAATACCTATCTCCCGTACCTGGGGGCGGGAACCCCAGAACAGGAGAGAGCTACGGCTGCGGCCCCGACCTGGGACGGGGGGAACAAAGCGATCCCTCCAGGGGGGCCCTGGTGGCCTTCCGTGCCGGGAGAGCAACGAGAAACGCGGCGGGGGGATGAGCAGCGTGAGAGCGCCCGCTCACCTCCGCTGGGGCCCCGCCCGTCCGAGCCAACCCCGGGGCCACCGCAGGGCGCAGCTGCGAGGCGTTCGGAGAAGACCGGAGGAGGCCCTCCCCAGAGTGCGGCACCCCCGCCCCCACCCCAGCTCGGCTGCGGGACTCGGCCCTGCCTGCGGGGAGGGACGGGGGGGGAGAGAGAGGTGCCCGCCCCCACTTCCCACCCCCCGCTCCCTCCACCCCCCGGGATCCCTAGAAGAGCATCTGCCTCGTCATCGCCCGTGGGCCCCAGTCCTCGCCCGTGGGGGAACGCTGCGAGGAGAGTAGCCAGCGCAGCCTCCATGCTCGCGCTTCCGCCCCCTGGGGCCGCCCTGGAGCCGGTCCTACGGACATGGCGCCCTGGTTGCAGAGAGGCGGAGCACTCTTGCTCCCACCTTTCACAGGAGGGCCGCTGCCACACCACCTGACCCTGACACCCGCAGGCACCCGAACAGAGGCAGACACCGCCTCCGTGAAACGCGGGCCCCCTTCAGAGCGCGCCCCGTCTGCTACCATGGGGGAATCGGCAGGGAGGGAGCGAGTGGGCGGCTCCGATCCCAGCCCACCTCTTCTGACCGAGCCCCGAAGAAACATCGGGGAGGAGGAGGGAGGGAGGAGGGGAAGGCTTGTAGACCCCAGCGTGTGCTGGTCCACCAGCGGGTGCGCAGAATGCAAGATGTTCTCATTCATCGCTGATTTCTGACTCTGCCAGTTCGTTATGGATCTGCGGCCGCCCTGGGCCACCATACGAGGGGGATGGTAAGAACAGATGTGTTTCTCCAACCCCTTGAGCCAAAGTCCACAAACATGTAGACTAAGAGCCAGTCGCATGCAGGCGTGGATCCGCTCTGCATTTGATTGGCCCCCTACCCCCACAGGCTCATGCTAGCGTAGTGTCGCTCGCATTCCCCTGTGAGGCGTGCGCGGGCCTGTGCCTGCTATGCTGCACAGCTGCTGACTCCTATATCCAGCTGTGCAGCCCGTTACAAAACAAATCGCTCAAAATGGTCCCGCGGCGTTCCGCTGTCCCATCGGCCCATGGGGCCAGGGGGGAAAAACACAACATTTCATCACACGGGCGTGGTCTCCTAAGCCCGGTCTTAAGAAACATGATACATATGCCGTGCTATGCTATGCCTCGCGCACCGCAAAGCACGGCAACGAAAATGTAACGACATTCGGCCCTGTCGAGGCTGATGCAACACAGTGGCAGCAAATAGTGCAGAACATCTGATCACGTGCGCTGTCATGCTATGCCTCATGCACCGCACAACACTTCACCCCCCCCACACGGAAGGAGGGGAGGGAAAACGGGAGGGAAGCGGGAGAGGGGGGGCGAGGAGGACAGGGCGGGAAGGGGGAGGAGAGGGGGGAAAGGGGACGCGGGGGAGGCGAGCCCCTCCTTACCTGGGAAGGGTCCGCAACCCCTTCCGCAGGGGCGAACTGGGAGACGCAGGGACGGTGACGAGAGCTCCAGAGGGCCCACGCTGCGCAGCATGGCGCGCCACGTGCTCCAAGGCCCTGCGGGAGAGACCCGGGCTCGGGGGGAGGCCGAGAGCTCCCGGAGCGCCAAACGAGGAAGCCTTCCTCTCCACACTGCGCCAGCATCGACCAGCGGCGCCCACTACGACCAGGGAATAAGCTTCCTGGTCAGACCTCGGACCGTGCAGCCAGCCTGCGCGCCGTCGAGAGGAGGGAGGGGAGGAGGGGGAGGAGGAGGAGGAAGGGAAAGAGAGGCGAGGGCAGCGGAGCGGGGAGAAGAGAGGAGGGCAGCAGGAAAGGGAGCAGGGGGCGGGGGGAGA